AATATAATATATATTACTTTCCGTTTTTATACCTACATCACATATTTGCTTTGGCTTTACTATCCCTCACAACGGTTTCAACAGCTTATTTTGCTATTTTCATTTGCTTTGGGATAGAGAGTCACAGCGGGGGCCAAAAACTAATAGATCTAGTCCCAAAAATGCGAGCACTGACGGCAACAACACACTGTTTTGGTGATAGTATTATAGATGAAATACCGTGTATTAAATGTTCAAAACAGTCGTATCGTCCAATTATGAAGTAAACAACTGAGAAGCTAGACTGGCAACCTGAGAGCGACTTGTGGGCAAGGAGGTTATACAAAAGGCCTAATTAAGGTTGTTGTAGGTCTTGCTTGTGGGTGAAACCGACAGCTGGGAACCGTTGCGTTTTTGTTGTTGTTGTTGTTGTTGTTGTTGTTGTTGTTGTTTTTTGTTTTGTTTTGGTAAGTGTTTTACGGCGCTCGCAACTGCATAAGGTCATATATGAGCGCGAGGGACACACCTAATATTTTCTGTTAGTAGGAAATTTTGAATTTTGCCCGGGAGGCAGCCGAAGCCTACAGTCTAATCGACTTTAAAATTAGACCACCAATTAGGGATCTTTAACGTGCGCAACTTGCACTCGGGCCCTCCGAGATTTTTTGCCCTTTGTCCGAGAAGGCTTGGTGTAGATCTTTCCTACCAGAAGATCAGATGAGGCAAAAAGACGCCAGTAAGAAGGAGTCAAGGAGTAGCGTAGAAAGGCTGCCGAAAAAGCCAGCGAGCCCTGATGAGGGAGCAAAAGGTGGTGAGGGGGTGGGGCAGAATGAGGAGACGAAAGCAGACGACAGAACATTACAAGAGAGCAGGAAAGGAGGTGAAAGGAGACAATTTTAGAGAAGAAAAATTTTCGGTCGCTACCCGGATTCGAACCCGGAACCTTTGAATGCGAGGTCAACACCTTAACCTCTATAGGCCGCGAGAGTCCCCAACGTGGCGTTTGCAAAAAATTTGTTCGTCGAGACAGGTGGCAGTGACAGCAAGTTTGTGAGCCACCGTTGATAAAACAGAGACGAAAGAAAGAGAATATGTAGTAGTGCAACAACTTACTGAAACCCTGTCGTCTTTTTTTTATGGGGGCTTCAAAAATAATAGAAAGAGCGGGGCATGGGTTCCCTTTCGAAAGAAAAATATTTTGAGCACAACAAAAGGGGGTACCATGCTATTATCCCATTTTAAAAAAATCATTGATTTCCACAATAACTTTTAGATCTAGATCTACATCTAGATTAGAATTAGATCTAATTCTAGTTGACTAGCTCGACAAGCAGTTAATTCGAGCCAGAGATCAAGGAGTTTAGAACTACTTTTAAATCTCCTTGCCAGAGATCTATCTCGGCATTTGCCTTTAAATGATTTAACGAGTATACACACCACACACAGACCTTTATCTGTGGTTTAGTGAATATCAAATGTTTGTGACGTCAGAGAGCGAAACAAGAAAAGGATCTACACGTTAGCACTTGATTTTATCATGTTATTACTATTATTATTTTATAATTATTATCAACTACGGAAATAATTGCCTACCACCAGCTGTGTATGCCACATTTTTGCGCCTTGCTCCGCTTCCGGACTCCCCTGCCTGCGCCCTGCAATCTCCCTTTACGAATATCAATGGTCCACTGTCCAAAAGCTAAAACAAAATATGGCGACAAGCGTTGTAAACAAGGGGCAGTGCTCTTGATTTTGTAAACCGCACAGGCTGTTCTTTGGCCTTGTGTTGTGTGTCTACCTTTTTTCCCCTTGCTGTCTTTGGGACCCAATCAAGAAATACATCCCTAACAGCTCTGTATATGGCAGTGACAGTGTTCTATTCCTAACAAAATTAGGTAAGTCCTCATCATTATTAGGGCTAGCCTTTTCGCCAAGCCAAGACCAAACTCAAACCGTCACGATGTTTTGTGCTTCCCTTTGTTTTTGTTTTGATCTGAAGTCTGAAGAGAGATAAATTTCCTCCAATATCGGTGCCAATTGCCTAAGAGGTTCCGAGAACACATAGGTACGTGGTGCGTTATGACTTTACAAAATAGGCTACAGGTGAGAAAGACAATAGGTGGTAGAGTAATGCCTACATCTAGATCTAGATCTAGATTTAGTTAGATAATAATTAGGAAAGTGGCTATTCTGGCGCCGCTATTCTCACCCGCCCAGAAGTTCTCGCAAGATCAACTCCTCCCCTCTTCTCTCTCTCTCTCTGTCTCTTTCTGAATACTGTCTATCGGTGTGGACGATCAAATTATTGACCAAAACAAAGTTAAAA